GCGGTGCGGGCACATGTCTCGGGGGGAGGGGGAGAGGCCCGAGGGCCCGGGGCGGGCGCGCTTTGGCGGCGCTGGGCCGCGGTATTGTGCAAGGAGCGCAGGGGCTCGGCGTGACGTCACTTCCGGCGGGAGGGGCCGGGCGGGGAGAGCGGGGCGGAAGATCAGTACAATGCGGCCGCGGGGAACGCGGGCCCGGGTGGGGGAGGGGCGGGGAGGGCGCGCGGGCTGGCCCGGCCCCTCCCCCCTTCCTGAACTCTCTTCGGGATACACGTGGGCTCGGGGCCTGGGCCGCGCTGGTCTCCAGGAGCTTTCTCGAACCTTCGAGTAGGCTGGCAAAATTAGGAATGTCTTTGGAGTGCGTCACTAACTCCAGGCCGGTTCCAAGCTGATTGTTCTTTGAATTCGCGTTGGATTCGTCGATTGAAAACGCTTACAAAAGAGAACGGGAGAGTCGGGCTTGTTGCGTCCACAAACAGGAGGGGGACTCCCCCCCCCCCAGTTGTGTCGCGGCTTGGCCCCTTATGTTAGGGGTGTTGTGTGTTATAGGAGACGGCAAAACAGAGCAGAAAGGCGGAGATAAAAAGAGAGGGGTGAAAAGACCTCGAGAAGATCATGGCCGTGGATATTTTGAGTACATTGAAGAGAACAAGTATAGCAGGTAGAGGATGCCGATCTAGTTTTACCCGTCTCCCTTCTTTCCTGGGTAGGAAAAGCTGAATCAGGAGACAATTCTGTCTTTCAGAGCCAAATCTCCTCAGCCACCTGTTGAAGAAGAAGATGAGCACTTCGATGACACAGTGGTTTGTCTTGATACTTGTAAGTGAAGCTGTTTCTTCCCTTTCCTCCCCCAGTTACTAAATGTGGCGATTTTGGTTCCAAAACGTTAGAGAACTTAACTCAGTGTGCTGAACTTAAATGCAGAAAGCAACGTAAACCGTTTCTCTTTAAAGCAAGGAGATGATGATGGGTTGTATTCAGATTCTGGTAGCTAAATATTTAGTACAGCATCAGTTGTGTCGTATTGATAATTTTACAGGCTCCAGCAATTTGGTGGTATTTTTTATGACTAGAAAGTTCGCATTTGTAGGAATGTAAAATTAATGCCAATTTTGGGTTTAGTTAGCTAATGGAAACTTGTAAGATTACCTGTAACCTGTCCTTATAGGCTCCTACAATAAAGTAATTTCATTTTTTTGGTAGAATTAAGTGAGCTATTTGGGCTAGTTAATATGTATTAATGATTTTTCCCATTAGCACACAAGTTTATTCCCTATTCTAAAAGATTGTAATATTACTTTTTCAATAACTGCTCTTTTGTTCTCAATTCCAGTTCAGTAGCTGCTGCTTTAACATAAGTTGATTTCTTCCAAAGACCTGGGGCAGCAGCAGTGGGCTATCACTGGGCTACTAGCTTTCTTCAGCAGCGAATGGTATCAATGGCAGCGCTGTAAACACTGCTACTTTACCCAGTTGGGTTGCAATTGAGTATGAGGAAGTATTGCAAACCTCTAAATGGGCCTTGGCTGTCAGATGTGTGGTTTTGTATAAAAACATTTTGTTGGTTTAGTTTTTGATCAGAATGCACAATTTTTTCACTTCGATAAATAGAACAAAGTGTAGAAACAATTGCTTGAAACGTAGGTAGTAAGGTGTGAACCAGCCCCATAGATCTAGGGAGTTAAAGTTTAGATTCCTATGTTTTTGGATACAAATTACTTTTAATTAGGTTTGTGAGACTGTAAATGTTAACTCTTAATTTCTTATTAAATATCCTTTACAGGTAGTTGAGCTAAAGGAGTCTTTTAAAAGAAAAAAAAAACTGCACGTGGAAAAATAGTTAACTTGAGAATTTTATTTTAAATAGTTCGGTTGCTGAAATACAAACTTAGTCGGAATTGGCAAGGTAGTGAAGTAATGATTCCAGAAGTTAACACTTACTCAAAGTAGATGGGCTTTTAGCTGATTACCTAGGAACGTCAACTCATGTATTGCTATCTATATCGGGTTCAAACGCAGTTGTTGAATCGAAAATTCTACCAGTGATAGGAATTTTGAAATCAAAGCTCATTTAAGGAGAATTCCAAACTCTAGATCTAATTTCTTTTCATCAATAAAAACTTAAAACAGCTTTTTAATTTGAGGTGAGAACAAGAAGGTGCATGCTAATGAGCCACTGACCCAAAGGTAGCTAGGTTAAAGACCTTTTGGATTTGGGTAATCCGGGGAGTGGATAATCCCCCGTTGTTACTGACCAACTGGCAAGCCTGGGGAAAAGGGACTTAAAATACTGTAATATTAACAGTGTTAGACAACCAGGTTTGCACTTTGCTAGGTTGAGGCTGCCTTCCTCACAAGTTTGAGAAAATTTAGAATCTAGAGCCCCTGTAAAATTACAAAGTGCAGGATCAACAGCTCATACTCCTGTATTTTAAAGTATGTGGTCATGGCCTCCCTTCAGTTTTTTTTTGTGGCACTGGTAAATTCTACCTGGTTCTGGCATGCTTCACTTTGATTTCCTGCTATCCTCTACTGCTTGCCTCTAAATCAAGGTAAAGAGCAGAGCAGGTATGTATCCCTGTCACATTGTCTTGATTATTTTATATATTTAAAATACACATTAAACCTTGGTGTTTTTGGTTTTGTAGGCAGTTTACACTTCAGTTCATAATTTGGTGAGAGTGACTTGGTGGGAGTGGGGCTTAAAGTGAAGATCAGAACAGCAGCATGATCTGTAGAAGCAGTGTGTTCCATGCAGCTTTAGAACTATGCAAGAATGTAATAACCAGGTTTTGTCTATGTAGCAGATGTATTTACATTGGATGTCAAAAGAAATAATATGGTATTTGATATAATTGCAGATAATTGTGATCTACATTTTAAAATATCAAGAGACCGCCTCAGTGCTTCTTCCCTCACTATGGAGAGTTTTGCTTTTCTTTGGGCTGGAGGAAGGGCATCTTATGGTGTGTCAAAAGGCAAAGTCTGTTTTGAGATGAAGGTAAATGCAGTTTTGTGATTTTTTTTTTTTATTTTTTTAAGAACCTTTGTGAGTTTCCATTTGCCTGACAAAGGTGTGAATGGAATTTATCTTTGAAGCTTCTGTGGATTAGAAGAGGGGCTTGGAAAACCTGTTTTATAACAGTTCAACCGTATCTGCTAACGTCAAATTTGTGTTGGTAGAGTCAGCCTATTTTTATTTAGGGTGCTCCTTTTTTTATTAGGCACTTGAAAGGCCTACGAAGGGTTTAAAAATAATTTGGTTAGGCTTCAAGTTTTGTTCCAGAGCAAAACATGTTAAATGTATGTTTTAATTGGATTTGAGTCGAGAATCTGTAACTTTTAAAACATTAACTGTTCTTTTCAATGTGAGTCGACCAAGGACTTGACTTGAACCTTTTTAGTTTCAAGTTCCAAACTTCTCTGTCAATTTTTAAAGTTCTTATAAATGTAGGGGAAAGATGGTGGGGTAGAATGGGTGTCTTTCTATTAGTAACTAGAGAAGAATTAGCCCACCACCCAGATGAAAGGTTCCTCGTAATCATTTATGATTTGATTTTCAGGTTACAGAGAAGATCCCAGTAAGGCATTTATATACAAAAGACATTGACATACATGAAGTTCGGATTGGCTGGTCACTAACCACAAGTGGAATGTTGCTTGGTAAAGTTCCCATTTGAGTAGTATGTGCTGATGCGTGTTTAGGGTCTGATTTCAGTAGTTACACTCCAAGGCATTCTAAACCTTCTGCCTGTTTTTAATCCATTTTGTTAGTATTTTAGGCATGAATGATACTATTAGCTTGTAGTAGGTATCAGCTTACTTTCAGGTTTTTTTCCTTTACGATTACTTGTTTTCTGATGAGTGGGTTAAAAGTCACTATCCCATGGTAATGAAGTTTCTCAAATAGTTACATAACCCACCTGGCTCATTAAATTTCATCTAGATAAAGTGTAAGTGGAAGAATGTTAGATTATATATTCATTTCTCTTGATTCCCTCCATCTCGAATGTTAAAATATGTGGGTCATTGGACTGTTTCAAACAATCGATTTCATGAAAGTTAATTATTTTCTTAGGTGAGGAAGAATTTTCTTATGGGTATTCTCTTAAAGGAATAAAAACATGCAACTGTGAGACTGAAGATTATGGAGAGAAATTTGATGAAAATGATGTGATTACATGTTTTGCAGTAAGTCGGCTAAATTTCTATGTATATAAGTGAGAAATTATTAGCTAGGAATTTTTTTTAGCGAACGATCACAAGTAGACAGGCGGGCAGAGGGAGAGGGAGAAGCAGGCTCCCTGCTGAGCAGGGGGCCGATGCGGGACTTGATCCCAGGACACTGGGATTGTGACCCGAGCCAAAGGCAGACGCGTAACCGACTGAGCTACCCAGGTGCCCCCAGCTAGGAATTTTTTTAAAGGTATATCAGTGTTAGCCTTCAATATTAATCATTTTGACTGGAAAACTACTTAACATGAAGTTGACCTGAAAATCTAGTCTGTTAAGAAGCAGCATTGTTTCTCCTTCTAGATACATGTTGTTTCATTCTTTATGACTGTTATAAAGTTCCTTAACATTTAACCTAAATATGCTTTCTATAGGATATGCTTCGTTTCTCATTTAAATTTTGAAGGTTTTTTTAGAAGTAGTTTTTTTTTTTTTTTAGAAAAAGTTTATAGGACGCAGATTAAAACGGTTAATTTTTTTCTGATTCAACAGAACTTTGAAAGTGATGAAGTAGAACTCTCCTATGCAAAGAATGGGCAAGATCTTGGCATTGCCTTCAAAATCAGTAAGGAAATTCTTGCTGGAAGGCCACTCTTTCCGCATGTTCTCTGCCACAACTGTGCGGTTGAATTTAATTTTGGTCAGAAGGAAAAGCCATATTTTCCGATACCAGAAGATTATACTTTTATCCAGAATGTCCCCTTAGAGGATCGAGTTAGAGGACCAAAGGGGCCTGAAGAGAAGAAAGATTGTGAGGTAAGTGGATTTTTTTTTTTTTTTTTTTTTAAGGCATTTGAAGATTACTTCTGTTTGGCAGTAATGACATTTGGAAGATCTGGATGATTGCTCTGTTTCATTCTGCCATGCCCGTTGCTATCAGCCAGTGGTTTTTCTTTTAGTTAGCTGTGTTCTTTAGAGTGTTGAGTTTCCAAAAATTTCTTTGTTTTTAAGGCAATGGAAATTTATATATATAATCTAAACTGGGTTCTTGTGCATTTAAAAACGTGTAAGGAAGTCTTGGATGGCTCTAGTGATAGCGGAATACCATTCCTTTCTGTTGTAGGTTGTTATGATGATTGGTTTGCCAGGAGCTGGGAAAACCACCTGGGTTACTAAACATGCAGCAGAGAATCCTGGTAAATACAACATTCTTGGAACAAACACCATAATGGATAAAATGATGGTAAGTAAAAGATTTAGGGTGTGATCGCAGCGTTTTAAAAAGACAAAAGAAGTATTCTTTTGCCTGTTGTCTTTTGCATTTTGTTAGTATTTTAGAGATAGGAGTTTGTCAAAGTTAAATTGGGTACTTAAAGTAGAAGGACGTAAGGTAAACTACTTTTATGTGTAAGGTAAAGTGCCTCCCAGTGGCTAGGTTTTATTTTTTCTATAAAATTTTTTGAACTATCAACTTTCAGTAGCCAGAGAAGTGAACAGCAGAGGATCTTATTACATGGTAAAGTGATCCTTTTCATAATGATAATGAGGAAAGGCAGTGTTTAAATTAGCAAATGTCTGGTTTCCACATAGATCTAAGCTGATAGTAGAAAAAATAGGTTTCACTTACAAGTTCAAAGGAACTTTTTAACTTTTAAAATAGGTGGCAGGGTTTAAGAAGCAGATGGCTGATACTGGAAAACTGAACACGCTGTTGCAGAGAGCTCCCCAGTGTCTTGGAAAGTTTATTGAGATTGCTGCCCGTAAGAAGCGAAATTTCATTCTGGATCAGGTAAGCTGGAGCTTTGAGGTTGAAAAAGGAATGGATTGTTGGGTTTGGTGTTGAGCTAATTGGGTTTATAAACTTTGTTTTTAAGACAAACGTGTCTGCTGCTGCCCAGAGGAGAAAAATGTGCCTGTTTGCAGGCTTCCAACGAAAAGCTGTTGTAGTTTGCCCGAAAGATGAAGACTACAAGCAAAGAACACAGAAGAAAGCAGAAGTCGAGGGAAAAGACCTACCAGAACACGCAGTCCTCAAAATGAAAGGCATGGAATTTAATTCTATTACTGTGTTAAATCTTACGTGATTTATGTCTGTGAACTTGAATGAACGTCATCTGCCAGTGATACTGTTCGACAGAGTCACGTTCGCTCTACATAAATGAATGTGTTTATTTCTGTTTCTAGGAAAACATGTTAGTAAACCAGGAGTAGACAACATAGTGTGGTTTGAAAGAATGACAGCCACTTGAGTTGAGGCTTCAGGGTTGTGGAGTCTTGGGCTTTTAAGCTAATCTGACCTTATTCCTTGTAGGAAACTTCACGCTGCCCGAGGTAGCTGAGTGCTTTGATGAAATAACCTACGTTGAACTGCAGAAGGAGGAAGCCCAAAAACTTCTGGAGCAATATAAGGAAGAAAGCAAAAAGGCGCTTCCGCCAGAAAAGAAACAGAACACTGGCTCGAAGAAGAGCAATAAAAATAAGAGTGGCAAGAATCAGTTCAACAGAGGCGGTGGCCACAGAGGCCGTGGCGGCTTCAACATGCGCGGTGGCAACTTCCGAGGAGGAGGCAAGTTGGCTTGGAGTGTGGGCCTTGTTTGCTTTGGGGTGGAAACGAGTGATGAGAGTCTCGTCGTTTGGGGTCTGCGTGTGGTTTAGTGGAGTTTGACCTAGGACATTCAACTCGGGTTGATCCTGCTGCCCTAGGAACTGGTTGAAGATGTTGTGACTTGATAAACACACGTAGGTTATGTGAGTGGTTAAATTAAACATTGTGCTTGTCTTCGAAAGTGATTTTTCTCCTCCGATACAGGACTGGTCCGGAGGAACTTGTGGTCCCGTGAACACGCTGTTAAACTAATGCTCTCTTTGTAGCTCCTGGGAACCGCGGCGGCTATAACCGGAGGGGCAACATGCCCCAGAGAGGTGGCGGTGGCGGGGGCAGCGGCGGCATTGGCTACCCGTACCCTCGCGGCCCTGTGTTCCCCAGCCGAGGCGGCTACTCCAACAGAGGCAACTACAGCAGAGGTGGGATGCCCAACAGAGGGAACTACAACCAGGTGAGGATTGAATTCCCTCCAGGCCTGCTAACTGCGGGACTCAGTTTGGGGGGTGGCAGGGGCACGCCCCCAGCCTCAGTAAGAATCGGAAGCTGCGCGGTGATGGAAGAGAGGATGAGGCCCGCTGAACTTCGATTTTCAGGTGAAATAGCATTGAGTCAGGGGATGCCTTAGATGAATGAATTGTACGCCTGAGACTGAGAACAAACCAGAGGGTGCCCCGAGCTTCATAATTTCTAGCAACTGACCCATTTCTGTGCTGCTGCCCCCCACATACAAACCTTCTGACAAGCCATGCTGAGTTCTCAAAGATGGCTTTTTCTCTCACCCCCCTCCCCAGAACTTCAGAGGACGAGGAAACAATCGCGGCTACAAAAATCAATCTCAGGGCTACAACCAGTGGCAGCAGGGTGTAAGTAACTTCTTATGTGCTATGGACACTAATTGTATTTGAAGTTCCTAAGAAGCAGTCTTGAAAAACTTGTCCAGGGATTGGAGTGTTGATAAGTGTTACAGGGCAAGGTGTGAATATAGGTGGAGTTTGCTGTAATTTAATGTTATATAATAAAATATTTTTTAATACAGACGGTTCTTTTTATTGCTAGCCTTAATTGTATAAACTAACCAAGTCATGATGTGTTTTCTTTTTGTAATGTGTTTTATTGATAATAATGGGATTAATACTAACTAAATCTGGTTTGGTAGAAATCAGAGGTATGACAGGTATAAATTTGTTTCCAGCAATTACTCTGAATTAGATTGTCATTTCCTAAAAGCAGTTTGAGTGGCTTATTGATGTTTTTTCTTTAAAAAAAAAATTTTCTCTTACAGCAATTCTGGGGTCAGAAGCCATGGAGTCAGCATTATCACCAAGGATATTATTGAATACCCAAATAAAACGAACTGATACATATTTCTCCAAAACCTTCACAAGAAGTCGACTGTTTTCTTTAGTAGGCTAACTTTTTAAACATTCCACAAGAGGAAGTGCCTGCGGGTTCCTTTTTTAGAAGCTTTGTGGGTTGATTTTTTTTCTTTTCTTTTTTGTACATTTTTAATTGCAGTTTTAAAGTGAATCGTAAGAGAACCTCAGCATTGTGCACGATAAGAGAATGTGTCAGTATTTCAGGGTTCTACATTTTATCTGTAAAATGTGACTTTTTTTTTTATCACAACAAAAGTAAAATGTTGCTTTGTACCTGGTGTCTTTTATTAAGAATTTACTCCCCCCATTTCTCACAGAGATAACAGTCGGGAGTCATTGTCACAATATAATAGAAATGTTAGCAACCAGATTCATGTAAGGACTAAGTAGTCCTCATGAATTGCATAAGACTCTGTACTGCTCATAGTACACTCCATCCTCTCTGTAGTTTGCTGAGTAGTGGAGGGGGAAGGCTTCAAGAGTAGTTTCCGACAATAACTGGGAAGGCTTTTTCTTTTTTTAAATAACAATGGAATTGGCATAATTGGGAATGAAGATAAAACTTGGAACCAAGATAGAGAAGATGGAGTGTATGTAGAAGGGCTGTTAAAAATGTAAAACTTGGTTGCATTATTTGTGGAGGCTCAAACTTGTGAAGGTTCAATACCATACTTTTTCCATTTGTTCTGCATTTTGATTCTGAAAAGAAAGCTGGCTTTGCCCATTTCTTATTAAAAAAACTTGTTGTAAATCCAGTTGTCTAATGGGATCTATATGAAGTTAGCTATGTCTGTATGCCCTTCTCCCACAAAATACTGTATAACTAGTGTGCTTGTAGTAGTTTACTCCACCATCTTTGTAAGCTAATGACATTGTGAGTCACCCATTTATATCTTAATTTTTAATCATGTCAGTTCTTGAATGGGTATCTCCTTAGCCTGCTGATTTCTTTTTCTTTCTAAAGAAAGTGGGTGGAGAAATTAATTTAGACGTTTGTTTGCAATAAAAAGAATTCATTTTACTCTTGTTTTGGGATTCTCGCCATCAAGGTTCAAAATCCCTTTATAAAACTCCCAAGAGGAGAAAATTTAAGTGTGTGCTTTCTGGACAGCTTATTCTTTACTCTGTACTTGGAACATTTAGGTTTTAAAAACTTAAATGTATACTGACAATTGACTTTGAATTATGAAGTAAAGTTGAATTCTTCCTTCCCCTCCCCCCCAGATGACTTAACATTTTAATGAGGGGAAATGGTGTACTGGCTGGGAGAAGTTAACACTCCGTTTACCATCTTTAGCAAATGCTAATGGCTGTCCTCAACCGAATATCTTATACGCACCTATCTAATACATGAAACTCTGGGAAGAGATGCTTTTAGAAGCCATCATGTGAGCCAGTCATTGATTTCACTACTACACAACACTGCTAACTTAACCGTAGCTATGTGACAACATTAGATCCCCTAATTGTAATTCTATTGGGTTTGCACAGAACACTTAATCTTAAAGGACCCTCACTGATGTGAAGTGAGGAATCAGGAGTCAAACTGTAGAACTAAAACTCGACTTCAGTCTAGTGTTTTGTTGGTGTTTTAGGTTGCTTCTGGTAAGTTTAGGTTTGTTTATATTTCTGTTTGCTTAGATTTTTGTTGTAGCCATTTTAAATCCGATCTTTAACTTCTTCATACTCCTAGGAATTCTGCTACAAGCTGAGCTGGAGTTGAGTTTTAGATGGTGGTGTAGGTTTAGTTGATAAATTTTTGAAACAAAGGCTAATCCTGTAATTACCGTAAGAACACTTAACGGTACAAGGCAGTGTCTCGAGGGCTTTGGGTTTTAGCAGTTAGCTTACTGGTAGCAGCTGCTGGTGTGAACTATTTCTCGTTGTACATTATAATTACGAGGATTGCATAGACTGACCCGGGGGAAAAGTTCAGCCTTTGTTGCTAATCAGTGTTTTAGGTACCTTTGAAGAATTTTGGATCTATCTTCTAGTTTAAAATTGCTTACTTAACGGAATTCATGTTCTAATAATCGCAGTGGGAGAGAGTAATGGCCAAATAACACTTTGGTAGATTGTCATGCCTTGTGTAGCCCAGAAAATTTGGGGAAGAAAGGGGAATAGATGGAGATACTGTCCAGGAAAACATTAAAATTTTCAGAAGCAGTCTAAAGATAGAATTAATATGTATGGAAAGAAATAATTTTAGTGTTTTAAGAAATTCAGAAGAAGGGAGTGTAGCAGATAGCAAGCAAGCGAAAGGGAGAAAAATAAGGAATGCCATTTGGCAGAGTAAGATCTGTCAATGAGAAACTTGGTTTAGTCTTTGCCCCTCCTCTCGCCTGCCTCTTTCTGTGGTAAGCAGACACCAGATAAACTAAAGACGTGGTTCTGAGCATGTCTCAGCTATGCCTGTGAGACTGCGGTTGCTTTGAGTGGTGCTTGCCCCAGAAAGTTTTTCAGGGAGTCGAACCGACCATCCTGAGTCAGGTGTTGGGTCAGATTGGTCAGCTACAGTCCGGTGAAAACAGCATGAATAGGTTAACCAGGAAAGAAGGCAAAACACTTCAAGATAGAAATGAAGTAACCCATGCTGTCCCATAGAACATTTTCTTTGTTGCTGGTAGGTTACATCTTGTCACTCCTATCTGGCCTTTGACAGAGGGCTCTGGCTTGGACCGAGGAGGCCAGGACTAACCTCTGGCCCTGATACCCAGGTCTGTCACAGTAAGATGAAATCTTAGAATGAAGCATGAGTCAAGTCAGTCTGACATTGAAATGACGAAGCCATATTAAATGCACAAAACAAGCTCACATTTGCCTAGGGTAGATCCTGTCCAACGGTAAGGACAGTGAAACTAGAGGTCCTGAGCACTAATGAGGTGTTGAAGCTTCTTAAAAGACCGTTTTCTTTGCAAAAGTACTTAAAATTTTTCCAGGAAAGTATGTTTTTCACCTTCTGGAGAGTTTACATTCGTGGACAGATTATGTTCTGTATTTAATGTTTGCATCAGTTCGAGTTGAATGACTTGTTTTTCTATGAGGTTAATATAAATTGGCTTTTTATTCTAGGATCATTTAAGTCCCATTGCACAAATAAAAATGAAGTATTTCATAGCTTTTTTAAGCAGTGGTACAGACTTGTCACATACAGAGATCTGATGATAGGTCTATGGGAGTCTATCTGATACTTTTAAAAAGCTGAAACCAGAATAAGCTGCTACTGAGGAAGGCGTAAATCTATGTTTTATAGCCCAAGTCTTAGTTTCTGATATTAAACATACATGTGCATCTTAAAAACAGTTTCCATAATTCCCTCTCTACATGTAACTATAAAATGTGTTTTAAAAAGTGGGTGGAACTTGTAGCAGAGAATGATTCTCCGCTCCCACCCCCCAGAATATTCTATGAAATATTGTGGAAAGATGAATACGATATTTTTTGTAAAGCCATTTTCTCCTAAATTTTTTTAAATGGTTTGAATCTAAACTTTGTTGTTCGTGTTTCTGGGGCTCTGAGAGAAACTTGGTTTCAGTTTAAATGTTTTTAGTAATGGTAAAAGCAAGGATACGTAGTGTTCCGGCCTTGGCAATAGGTTGCAGTAGTTACGCACAAGCTTTTAAAGGATATTAAGTTAGGGTTACCTGCATTGGCTCTCCCTAAACAGCAATTTGGATTTATTAGTCAATGGAGACCAGTCTCTTCAAATCATTAATTGCCTAAACTTATTTAAAACTACAGTGCCCTTTTGATGTGGAACCTTTTGTTGGGATAATTTTTAGATTTGAATCTTCTTTTTAGCCCTACTGTTGTCCAGCTGCTTCTCTACTAATTTACTAACCTGGATATTTAAAATAAACCCTTCAGAATTATTTTGGAAGTGACCTGAAAGTGTGCTGATGGATACAGTATGTATCTCTTGAGAGTGTGGGGTAGGACAAAAAGAAAACCCAGGATCCCCAATATCCTAACATTCCAAAGTTTTTGTATATGTGAAGTTGAATAGTTGAAATAACCTACCTTAATAGTATATTTTTACTATGTTTTGCTAAAAACATGCTATTTTATTTGGTGGTCACACTTTGTTGATTTCAACACGTGGGCAGCTGGAGCCCCCCAAAATAAGAGTGCTTTAGATAGGTGGGTAGTAAGGAGCCCCCCAAAATAAGAGTGCTTTAGATAGGTGGGTAGTAAGGATGTACTGTCCCATCCTAACCAGTTGACTAAAAATGTAGGTGATTGAATATATTTAATTAGGTTGTCTAAGGAACTTAATTTAGTCTGTAAGGCTTAGTAGATTGTAAAATATTATCATTCATAATGTTAACCTAGAATTACTTTTAAAATGTGACACCTGTGTATCTCATGAGGTTACGTTGGGGATGTGCTGTCCATGTGGAAAGCTGAAGGACGACAGGTTTTTGGCATGATGTTGATAACTGGGGAATTTTAGTTGTGATTGTAGATCAGTATTTGTAAGGGAACAAATGGATAAACTGCTAGGCCAGCACATCAGTAATCACTGGTTAGGTAAGTTATTGAGACAAGGACCTTAACTATGTGCTTAAATTTGTATTTACTTAGTTATTGCCTGGGAATATTACAATTGTTTTCTCCCTTCTCATGCCAGGATTCAACATATACTTGCATCTTGACAAGGAACAGGGGTTTTGCTTTTAGACAAAGCTGGATCTTTGGGTATGAGAAACAATATTTTATAGTCAAAGGTGTTGCGATAATACCGTCTAGGTAAATAGAGCAATGTCTTCACGGAAAAGTGGACTATTTGCTGTGCCATAACCGAGTGCGTTGTGCACCTGTGGTGTAGCTTGGCCTGCGCTGCTGGCGGTTTTGCAGGGATTAGAGGCTAGAGAGCTGACCTGTGTAATAAACTCGGAGCTGTGGCTGATGGCATGTGCTTTCCTGCCATTTCTGTAACAGTTCGTGATCTTAGAGGAAGTAAAGTCAGTTTTGTACAGTAAAGTATTCTGTACTTGTCAAGCACTTGAGAAGCAGATCCACAAATTCGCATCCGCGAAAAAATTAAGAAACCAAAGCCAAGAACAATGAGATGACCAGTATAGTCCGCTAACCTGTGACGTAAAAGCTTTGAAGAATTAGGGCATGCAGAGAGAAGGTGAGGTAAAATCCATACTTCTGAAGAATGGTTGGGGTTTATTGAATGGCAAGTAACAGGTAGCTATTAATAGAAGGTATCCTTTCTGTTGTCTGTAGTTAAGGGAGTGGGAGCATCGTGGTCAAGTACAGTAAAAGGTTCCAACTTAATATATATATTTTTAAAGTAATAAAGCAAAAAAAAAATGCTGATTTAAATTTCATCTCCTTTTCCTTAGTCTGTCCATGTGAATGTGCTGTGTGGAAGAGTAAAAGGGCCCAACTAAATGTGTTCCAGTGATTCCAATAGGTATTCCAAATTAATTGCTGCTTGTACATTTAACACTTGTTATATTGGGCTTCCAGGATCACCTTAATTAGAACTCCCTTATTTTAAAAGGATGGGAAAAGGAAATAAGTGGTAACCCAGATTGGGTAGATTGTATAAACAGGAAAAAAAGGTTTTCTAACTTTCCTTTGCATACCTGAAATGTGAAATAGTTGGTGTAATGTTAAGCAGTTGGCGGTCCTCTATGCCTAGGTTTAAGACTATGCAAATGGAGCCGAATCCTTGTAAGGTTCTAATGGTTCAAATTCCTTGTTTTAACTTTTTGTGAGACCCTCATTTTAATACTTCCCACTTGCAGAGCTTAAATACTTAAAATACTTTAATGCAGAAAAATGAATCTTAGATACTTATGTCCTTGTTTTTCCCAGCCTTCTGTGTCTATGCGAAATGCACAAATACTTCTTACTAGCTTATAAACACTTGGAAACTAGATTGAGAGCCTTTTGGAGAATGAGGAGATAGGACTCCATTACCAAAAAATCAACTATAGGAAGTAAATTTAAATTGTAAAGACAGAAGGAAGGGCTCAGTGTGACCTCTGATTGTGCCTCCAGAGCATGTAATTTCTCATTGCCCTGAAGTCATTTAAAGACTTGGTAAGAAGCTTAGAGGTAATCTATTCTCTCCACCACATACTCCAGAATAATGTATCTTGGTGAAATGAGAGGACCTGGGTGCTATACTGATTTGAAATGTAGCTGTCAGGATTTGAATACAGTTCTGTGTCAGCTAAAAATCCAGTGGCTTCTGAAAGAGCAGACAGCTCGGTTTCAGACCAAAAGGTAAAAATCATAACTATTTTGTTCATTTGAAGGAAAAAAAAAAATGTTAAAACTAGGAGAACATCGTTTCAAAAGTAAACTTTGAATTCAGATGGCAAAGCATAGGTTTCATTTCCTGTGACTTGTCCTCACAGTCTAAAGGGAAGAAACATTTCGAGGGAAACTGATCCATTAAGAAACCAGTGTTTGCAGATTACTTTGATTTCCTAAGGACAGGCCATCTAAGGTGGTTTAACAGATTTTGTTAACTTGATCTAAACTTCTAAAAAGGGAACAGTAGAAGCCTTTCTATATTCTTACCTGCTTATAATGTCTCTGGTAGTTTTGTCAAGATAGAAATACTTGGGGAAATCATCTGCATTCTAGAAAACTGAAGAGAAAGGCAAATGTAGTTGTTGAAAACTACTTGCAACACAATCTGTAGTGCTCATGTTACAAGCTTCAAAATGTAACACTTTTTTTAAGACCTTTGTAGTAAGTTTTTGTCCCTAAAGCTTACTATTTTAAGAGAAAAAGATGGAGCTTATTGCATAAAATAAGCTGTGTAAGATGCCAGTATTTGGGTGGTAGAGGATATTGGTATGTTGTCCTAATTGAATGACCACTGGACCCTATTAAGATGATAACAAAAAATATTCTAGAGGACCATTAAAAATCAGAATTCTAGCAATGGCTTTAACTTTTCTACTTAAGATTTTGTTTACCCAAGTAAAGTACATATATATATATATATTAACATGAATTTTAAAGGGGTGCCTTGACCCCCATCCACTACAGATTTTTATCTAGGAATAGAAGGATTCAAACCCTATTTGATCCCTAGCTCTTTGCTGAAAAGTGCATAAACAGGAATCCTGAATTTATTATATAGACCTCCTCGCATTATATAATCGAAGCAAAGGGAAACCAGCGATGGAGTAGAGGTACGTAGACTAAAAAGATGCTTGCGAATCAAATGATGGTATTAGGAATAGTTAAAATTTTTTGTTGCCAAACTCGGTCATTATAAATCACAAGTCCAAAGAAAAGCTTTAGTTAATTTTAAATTCCCTGAGGTCCTTTTACTGTGATGGAAAAGCCAAGTAGTCAAGGAAAAAAAGGGAGGGGTGAGGGAAGGGGGAAATGCATAGAGCACTAGAAAGATTTAACAAAGTATGATAGATAAAGCCACAACAAGTTTTAAAACTACTAATGACCACAATTCTATTTTAATCAGCTATTTAGCTGGTATCTACTGCTATATCACGTAGTGTGAAGTTTTGGAATTAATGGAACAATGAAAGAAGCAGTGCAGCTGGAGGCTCCCAAGTGGGCACGGAAGGTAGGTTACTCTTGCGGTCTGTGATGTGGAAAGCATGTTTGGATGAGGGGAACCTGGACTCTGTCTCCTTGCTAGTGAACATTTAGTAATACAGTTCAGCAAACATGCATGGACGGTTTCATGCCAGACACTTGGCTGGGAATGTAAAGCTTTAAAACAGAGAGTTCTTGATGAGAAACTTAGGCTCCACTTGGAGCACAAGTCCGTGACCAGTGAAGATGCCAGCTAGTAGCACGAGAACCTAAATGAGAAAGTGATCCTCCTTCCCAGAGGCTAGTGAGCAGGAGAAGGGGCTGGGAGAAGCAGCAGGAGGAAGGCACTGTTAAGTGGAAAGGGAGAGTTTGAGCAGAGGCTGGGGGTGCATGGCAGAGGGGATGGGCACAGAGTTCACACAGTTTGAGCTTGGAGTTGGGTGGCGGAGTGGAAATAGATTAGGTTGGAGGCTATGAGTGGAGGTATGAAGATCTGTTCGGGGGCTTTCTGGGAGGTGTCCAGCAACACTGGCCTAGGGACCTGGAGTGTGTTCCATAGCCCAGTAATCTGTTAGCGCATTTTGTAACCTCTTAATAGTTGGGGAAGAAAATAGGTATTAATAACCACATAAACTTACTAAATGATACTTTAAAACTTATCCAAGTAAGTATGTCACCACTTTGTTTTTATCCAGGTCTCCAATTTATGCATTCTGCTGTGAAAATGAACTAACCTTGTTATTGGTGAAGGCCTTGGAAATTTTTGCCAGCCGAGAGAGAGGTTTCTCTTACTCAGGGTAAGATGTAATCATAGTATGGGAGAGCTAGGCGGGAATTCAGTTAACTTAATCCAATTGCCCAATTTTATACTTTGCATCCATTTGTAAACTGAAGCTGAGAACCTAAGTGGCCTGCACAAACAGCTTGTTAAAGATCAGGTTTGAGGAGTACTCCTCAGATTCCCCCGTACTCTTAACAGATACGGCGTTGCCTCTTAAAATACAAGTACTGGTCAATTTGAGTAACAGAGACTGGATTCAACTCTGACTGTGTCAGTAGAGTATACAGATGGTATGGTCTTGGAAACTGCCTTTTCTTTTCTAACAACCTTTCCTGATTATTGTCCAAGTCCTACCTTTGGTGGCTACTAGATGATGATGATCCATGGAAATGTCTCGGGGCATGTGCTTGACAGCGACAGCCCGTGCGCCGTGCCCCTCGTAAGGACAGCCACAGGAAAGGCGGGCCTGGGAGGGAAAACGGGACTGAGCATGCACTCCCCACTTACCCCTTGAAAAGTCGTAAGAGAACACAGTAAAACTTGAGGATAGCTTCACCTTCTCTGGCTGACCATGATAAGTAATAGGAGCATTAATAATGCCGGAATCCTGTCTGGTGGTCTTTTTTCATTATCATTTCAAAACCAGGAACACCTCTAGCTTGTGTTTTGTGGTATATTTTTTTCTTAGGAAGTAATGTTGACATTAAAACAAAAAAAAATTCATTGCTTTGGAAAGGGGAGAGTGTTTTTCCTGAATGAATAAATGTTATAGGTTTGGTTGGGTGCCTTGTTTGCCTCTTTTAACGGCAGCGGATTGTTAAAAATGACAGACTTATATTATTAATGTAGTATGTGTGTGATCCTGTGGTGGTTTTGCATCAAACAAGTTCTGAAAATACTTATATATACCATGTGTCTATTTAAATTCCATTTAAAAAAATTAAAACACTGCATACATCCAAAGAAATTCAGAGCATTTAAAAACAAGGTTTACTTTCGGGTAGATCACCTACCTGTTGTAAAAAATGGAAGAATAGGGTCAAGGCGGTGAAGACATTTTTAAAAACAGCAATTTGCAAAGTCAAAAAATCTATTAGTGTTATGTCTTAAAATAGCACTGACTTTAGAAATCAGGAAGTATTGCCTCATTTTTAACAGGGTGCAGTAATACAATTGTGATTTTTGTTTTTAAGGTGAGTTTGAAAATCCAGCTGAGAGATTGTTTCTTGAAATGCCATTATTTACACTCTCTTCTCAGAAGCACTGAGTCTGACAAGGCACCAGATGCTTTGCTGGCAGTAGGTCAAGGGCCAGAATAAGCTTGTGGACATTCATACAAGTGTTTAAAAAAAAACAAAAAAAACTACAACCAACACATCTTTTATTTACTTGATTGAAAGTCTAATGGTACATACGAGGTTTAATAGAGTTGCCCTCCATTTTATTCACACTGACTCCACAGAGTTGTATCCTCAAGCTCGATTCCGCTCAGCTGCTGTTCTTGCTGGGGCTTTGTTTTCTTTCAGGGTCAAGGTGGGTACTTTCATACAAAATCTTATTTTTAATTCCATCTCTGGCAGTTCTTTCCTGGATTCTTAGCTTCGCATAATTATACCTACAATGGAACCTTATAAAAAAAGAGCACAAATGAGTGATTTTTAATATAAATTTCCTCTAGAAGCCAGTTTGAAATTTGTAGTAACAAAATTTAAGATGCTACAGAGGACTACCCCAAGATTTTTTGAAAATACAACCATTCTAATTTGGAGTGCTATTTTGGGGTGGTTTGGTGTCAGAAATACCTAATTATTTGGTAGGTTTTACATAAAATGAGGCTTTTAATCACCTCTAGCTTAGTTTTACTTGTAGAACCTCATCCAGTGGAACCATATATATACTGTGTACTCCTGGCTCTGGCTTTATTTTGCTCAAGAAAACACAGGAGATTCATGCATGTGTTTTGTTAGTTGTGAACACATTCTTAAAAGCCTTTTCAGATGTGACGTCAACGAGCAAGAAAGAGCATCAGGGTTGAGGCCTTCCTAAATAAAGTAGAAGTCATAACTTGGTATTGATGAAATTCCATGCATTCATCTGCTCATTTGACAAATGGTATACAATGTGTCTACATAGACATACTTAAAAGAGGTTTCTTCCTCACGGTTGGTGGGGGGCAGGCGGTGGGAGAGCAATTGCGTGAAAAGAGCATGTGTTTGAAATATATCAGTCTATCATGATCCTGGAACTTCTTGAATTAGTACACGTACCAGCATCCTAAAGTCACCAGGATAAATCCTCCTACTCCAACATCACATGATCTTCTAATCCTACCTGTCAAAAAGCATAACCACTGTAATTAAATTCTACATTACATATTAGTCCATTTAGAAAATGTTCATCATACATAGAGAAAAACAGATACTCACTAGTTAGCAAAAAATGTCCAAGGCCAGCCACAACAGATCCTAATGAACCATACAATATCGAATCCCGTGCACAGGGAATGTTTTCAACATCTAAAATTCCTAGGAGCTTAAAGGGCTAGGATAAAATGAAAAGAATAAGGAAATATTTAATTTCAGGGTGGTGTGGCAAAGATTAGAGTATATGCTAGGTGGTAGCCATGAATCTGTTTACCATCTTTGGTCATCTGGCTTTGGCCTACAATCTGTATGTAAATGGGAAACCTTGAGACTCTGACCAGAAAACCCCGTAACAGCAGGGCAGTTTAAACCTAAACCAATTAAATTATGGTGTTAATACTGCAATTTACTAATTGGTCTGGGAGTAACAGCATATGCCATTTTATGAGCCCTTTAAACATCTGTATGAAATGATCTTGGAATCTGGCTATCACTGAAATTAAGCACCACAGTTCTTCCAATTTGGGAAGCATAGAAGGGGAAAAGAACTATTCTAACCATGTTTGCTTGTAATAGTAGAGTTTGACTTCAGATTTTATTGGTATTAAAAATGTGTGCAATCTCTCTTTGGTCTGTTTCCTTAACTGTGATAAGAAATTGCACTTGATTTGATTCTTTGTTGATACATGGCAGCTACACCTAGGGGGGTAGGGTAGGTGTGACGGGAAAAGCTGGAAATCCAGAGTTGGGTTTTTGTCTCTGCTCTGCCACTAACTGGGATCACTTGTAGGATATATGTATTTTTTTAATCTCCGTAGCCCTCCATCTGTAATGAAAAGGCATTGGGCTAGGTGGTAATTTAAGTTCCTTCAAGTGCTAAAACGAATGATGCTTACATTCTTTCACTGCAGTCTTCATGGGATTCATGGACTTGATTTTCCTGATTTAAAAAAAGGTACTGCCAGCTTAAGCTTCACATGTTTTAATGTGAATGTCAAATGGAACTCTGTTTTAGGGATCTGGGAGGACAGGACACATTTTTTTATAGTCACACTTGTTTCACTGGCATTCCTATTAATAAAGGACTTAGAAAACTTAGACTTTCTTAAAACTTGATTAAATGCAAGTTTTCAGTAATGTAGCTTTTTTAAAAAAGGAAGCCAACTTGTCCACTTAAAGGTTTCAATGAATAGTAATACAGCGTGAAGGCAACCTTGCTAAAACGGGAGGATTGTGTAGATGAGGGGACACTTAGAAAGTAAAAGGGGAGATGGGAGCGGGGACTGGTTAGCCCGGTGATGGGTATTAAGAAGGGTGTTCCTGATTGTATTTGTGTTAGTATTCTTTGGCTCAAACTGCTGCCGGAAAAGACAAAGTGTGATCTGGTCCATAATAAAGCAAAGACTGTATTCTCTTGATTATTCTATCCCTTTTTTTTTTTTTTTTTAACTTTTGTCTCTCCTTGTTCCCCTCCCCGCCCCCCCCATCCCTAACATTACTTGGTGGACATAGCTATAAAAGCTCTTCACAAATCTTAGTAACAGGGGGATTTAATTATGCTTCTAGGCAAGAAACAATCAGCTCAAAAGCCAAGCTGAACATAGTCCTGGCAGGCAGGAGGGTTGTGAGCCACTCAGTGGACAGCTGGACTCCACATTCCAGTCCAGGGCTAATGCACCCACCTTCAGAGCAGCCTACTTTCCTAGGGGAAGGGTGGAGGTGATGACTAGTGCCCATTTGAGGTCTTAGAAGCAAGTGAGAGCAACACCTTCCACCGCAGGGTAGGCAGTCCTGATGGCTTTCACATTTGGGCAGGGGGTCATTAAGTAGAATAAGGAACTATTGGGCTGGCCACCGCACAGCTCACACCATGGCTTTTTTGTGTGGATTCCCTTCCATAACGGAGTCCTAGTGTGACTCCAGGATATCTCCAAATCTGCAGACATTTGTGGGGCACTTGGACAAAATGCTATTAACCTCAGTTCTTTACAAAGTAGAAAATATATTTGCCAAATAATGAAACAGTGCTGCTCAAGTCAGCTAGGAGACCATCTTTCTCAGTTTGGAGGTTTTCAAATCTACCCCCTCAGATTCTGACTCGGGTCTGGGATGGGCCATGGGGATCTACATTTAGAAAATTTGAGGGCTCCCCCCCCACCATGAACCTATCAGATTGAGGAAACAGGTTTTAGATACTGTTCAGAAAAATGTTTTGGGGCGCCTGGGTGGCTTAGTCGTTGAGTGCCTTCGGCTAGGGTCATGATCCCAGGGTCCTGGGATCGAGCCCTGCATTGGGCTCCCTGCTCAGTGGGAAGCCTGCTTCTCCCTTTCCCACTCCCCCTGCTTGTGTTCCCTCTCTTGCTGTGTCTCTGTCAAATAAAATCTTAAAATGTTTGGGGTGCCTGGGTGGCTCAGTCGGCTAAGCCTCTATTTTTTGGCTCAGGTCATGATCTCAGGATCTGCAGCTCTGTGCTCAGCATGGAGTCTGCCTGTCCCTCCCCCCCAGTCAGAATCTTTAAATTTAGTTTTTTAAAGGTGTTAAATAATCAGCTTATTGTGGGGTGTCTGGGGGGGACATAGTAGGTTAAGCGTCTGACTCATGTCATGATCTCAGGGTCCTGTGAGAGCCCCAAGTCAGGCTCTGTGGCCGAGAAGGCAGTCCGCTTGAGATCCTCCCTCCCTCTGCCCCTTAACCCTGTGTGTTCTAAAATCTTTAAAAAAAAGATCGCTTAGGGGCGCCTGGGTGGCTCAGTCAGTTAAGCGACTGCCTTCGGCTCAGGTCATGATCCTGGAGTCCCTGGATCGAGTCCCACATCGGGCTCCCTGCTCGGCAGGGAGTCTGCTTCTCCCTCTGACCCTCACCCCTCTCATGTGCTCTCTCTCTCTCTCATTCTGTCTCAAATAAATAAATAAAATCTTTAAAAAAAAAAAAATCGCTTATTAAAAAAAAAAAAAATGCCTTAACAGAAGTTACATACGCTTTTTAAAACGGAACCTTTTAAAACCCAACATGTGGATACAGGCCAAGGATGCTGCTGCCAAACATTCTCCATTACATTTATCAGCACCGCATCCAACAAAACTGGTCTTTTGTCAGCAGTGCTGAACTTGAGAAACCAACACTGGTCTAATTAAACAATTTCCTGATTTAGAGGTGGCGGGGCGGGGGGGAGGCTGTTCGTGCCAGACCCATTACATCCCTTGTTCTCCACTCTCAGCCTCTCATGTGAGAACACCTCTGAGCAAGTGCAGGTTAGCCGGAACCCCCAAAACCTGTTCTTTCCACTGTCACTTAACCCTTTGGTTTGTTCATAAATGAGAAAACCAGGGCTCGGGGGAGACATTTTCCAAAGGTCACACATCTGGGGTTGGGGGGGCAGGACTAAGTACATGACCGTGTATCTGCAATTCGTATCAAGACTGGGGGTGGGAGGCGCCTGGGTAGCTCAGTTGGTTAAGCAACTGCCTTCGGCTCAGGTCATGGTCCCAGGGTCCTGGGATCAAATCCCACTTCGGGTTCTGCTCAGCGGGGAGCCTGCTTCTTACCCTGACCCTCTTATGCTGTCTCTGTCTCAAAATCTTAAAAAAAAACAGTAGGAATGCACCGACTATAAGAGCATACTCTTCCCTTCACTAGTAGAGAATTTTCAGCCTCCTGGTAAAGTTGGGAGTTTACAGATTACTTAAAAGCAAGTACAGGAAAACTAACGAAGAACCAGTCTTAAGCACATATAATACTTTTAGAAAGTACACTGAATTGTTAAGACTCTCAGAAATTAGTAAGAGTTCAAGCCATAAATCCCTTTTAAGTACTTCCATTTATGATGTTCAAGCATTTCACATTTTTATTCCCTACGTAATCTGCAACCTTATATGTTTAACTTCTGCCGTTAACAAGCTTAAGGCTTAAACTAAGGAAATTTTAGACTTGTTGACTAAAAATTAAGTTTTTTTTTTTTTTTAAAGATTTTATTTATTTATTTGAGAGAGAGAGAATGAGAGAGAACACATGAGAGGGGGGAGGGTCAGAGGGAAAGCAGACTCCCTGCCGAGCAGGGAGCCCGATGCGGGACTCGATCCAGGGACTCCAGGATCATGACCTGAGCCGAAGGCAGTCGCTTAACCAACTGAGCCACCCAGGCGCCCAAAATTAAGATTTTTTTAAAATGTAAACTACACCCAACATGGGGCTCAAACTCACAACCCCAAGATCAAGAGTCCCACGCTCTGCCAACTGAGTCAGCCAGGCAACCCATGAAATTTTTAAGCTTAGATTTAGAAAGGGAGCTGTTCCAGCTCACCCTGATTAAACTAAGATGCTCAAAAGATTTCTAAGCTGGAATACCAGTTTAATAATTTAAGAAAATAGACTGATTTAGAGCCACCCCATTTCCCACTGCCAAACGTCTCTGCATTAGTGTTCATAGTCTTTGCTCTTGGTGCACAGGGCCAACTGGCCCTCCCCCCCCTTTTTTTTTTTAAGATTTTATTTGAGAGAGAGCATGAGTGGAGGCGGGGGAGAGAAGACTCCACTAAGCGGGGAGCCCAGTGCGGAGCTCGATCCCAGGACCCCGAGATCATGACCTAAGCTGAAGGCAGACGCTTACACGACTGAGCCACCCAGGTGCCCTTGGCCCTCTTCCTATTTATTTTTTTAAAATTTTATTTGACCGAGCGAGCACGCGGTGGGCAGAGGGAGGAGCAGCGGGGAGCCCGACACGGGGCTCGATCCCAGAATCCTGGGTTCATGATCTGAGCTGAAGGCAGATGCTGAACTGATTGAGCCACCCAGGCGCCCCCAGCTCTTCCTATTTAAACCTAGTCCTAACTGCAGTTGATTCCCCTGGAGAAGTTTGTTTCTAGTTACTCCTTTCCTCATTTGCACTATTATTTTTCCTCTCCAGTATAAATAAAAACAAAACTACTCGCTTAACACTCCTTCCCTCCACAAACCTCCTAAGCCACTATCCCACTTCTCTGCTCCCTTAAACTGCAAAACTAAAGTTAACCTACGTGTTACAAGCTTCCTTCGTTGAAGTCCCTTCAAAGAGCATTCATCCCTACACCACTGCAGCAGCTTGGTCGAGACACTGTAAAATCCACCATACTTTCCATCAGCACACATGGCACAGATAATCATGTTTTTGAAACATTTTCTTGGCTTCAAAGAGGACGAGGCTTCCTGGTTTTCCACCTCACTGGCCATTCCTGGCAGTTTTGCAGCTGTTCCCTCCTCTGATGACCTCTCAGGTTGAAGAGTTACCCTTGCCCACTCAGAAATGTAGGCTTTCAATTAAATGCCATTTACATAATGATGCCTCCCAGATTTGCAAATCACACCTAACCTCTCCCAAGCTTTTGTCTCCTAATTCATCAGTCTAAAGACACCTTTTGTATGTCAAAAAAGCGCCTTGATTAGAATTATTTTTCAGGCATCACTACTCAACCAATTTGCAGACCAAAAACTTAGGAGTCATCCTTGATTTCTTCATCAAACCTATGTCCAGTGCATCAGCAAGTCTGGGATACACCTAAACCAAATACATCTTGAACTAAAACACTTCTCACTTCTGCTCCTGCTACTCCCAGGCTACCATCATCTCTCATAGGATCTTAAAAGCTCTTGATCCCACTCGGATAACTAGATCATTGTCCTTTGAAAACCCTCCATGCCTTACAACTGTTGGGAAGGCCCTGCACAACCTGGCACCCACCCTCCTTTCGTATTCCTTTTTCTCTTGTCCTCTAGTCTAGGAACACTGGTTTCTCCTCTGGCAAGTTGGTTGATGGTTACTACCTAGCACATCCTGCCTTTCTCCAGGATCTCTGCCTGGTTGGCTCAGTAAATGAAATTCTCATTTCCTGTTTGATTCCTGCAGTAGAATGGGAATTCCACAAGGAATATTTTGCCTGTTTTGATCAAGGCTATATCTTTAGCTCCTACTTTAGTGCCTCATACTCATTAGATACCCTACTTTTTTGAATGGATTTATTAATAAATGTAAAATTTACCTACAGCACTTTCCTGGTAGGCATGTACCAAATTTCATATTTTAAAGTTTCCTGGAGAGCAAAGAATGGGAGCAAAGAGTTTTTAAGGGTTAGTTCTATCAGCTTGATAACTTCCATTTTTACCTTAGGTTTGCTGATGCTAATAATCCCTGGTTTGCACTGGAATGATCACTGAAAAATTCTTTAAAAACTGCAGGCTTCCTTTTCTGACATTACCCTGGGCTACTAATTCAGTGATAGCTTATATAAATTTTATAATCTCCTTGGTGAGCTTTGATAAATACTAGTATTTCATGAGCAGTTTGTTTACAAGCTTTTTTTGTTTTGTTTTTTAACCTCGCCAATCTGGTAGCGCTCAGTTTTAGGGCTTGTACCTATCCATTTCACCAACTACAGTATTTTGTTTTACTCATGATGGACCAATTAAATAAGTCAATATTATTCTTCCATTCGATTTGTAAAAAATGTTCAACGGCTAAACCATACTTCTGACCCTTAAATGACGGCAGTTATCTCCTATCAAAGTTGACAATCAGATACAAGAGAGATAAAAGCCCCGTTTAACCTCCCCGTGTTTATATAGTTATGGTGCCTCTTGAAATAGACAATTTTAAGATAAGGGTACACTTGGTTACATTAAGCATATTCCAAGTAGTATATGAGTCATTAAAAACAAAAGGCACCAGTAAGTGTTGGAACTGACACAATGTGTTTTGATATTAAATCTGGAGATAACTTATCCAGTATTTGTTCATATTAACCATTTGATCTTGGCCAAATTTAAGTGGAAAAGTCCTCTGAGAAGCAGTAACTCTGAATGAATAGGAAAATTTCCAAGCTGAACAGAGCATATCCTAAAACTGTGTTAGGAGCATTCCGGCACACAGTGGGTCTTGAGTAAATAGTTGGATGTTCATCACTGATCCAATCAATGTTAATATCTCTATAAGGTTACTACTGAAAACTGTTTTCTTCTATTTTCTGAACATCTGTTACTTGTTCAGCACTGAGGTTATAAATTGGGTTCCCTTAAGGAGCCCAAGGGGCAGAAGACAGAAATCGGGAACTTGCTGGAATGATGCAGCTGTAGAAGGTGCCAGGGAGGAGAGGGAACAGGTGCATTTCAGTCTACTCTGGGGAGTCAGGGGGCCCCTAGGAGAAACCGCCCTCCCTTCGTTGCCCACCGTCTCCAGAGCCTCTACACAGTAGAAGAGCCGGACACAGGCTGACAGGGGCTAGGTGAAAGGCTTTATCGTCCAGGCCAAGGAATTCGGGTTTTATCCGGGAGCAACGGGCTGTGACGACTGGATCTTACGCAGAGGTGAAATGGTGCGGTTTACAGGTTAGCGCACACGAAAGGGAAAAACCTCGGCCTTTACATCCGCTCCTCCCGCTCTGGGTATGCACTCCCCGAACCGAACCACGTTTTCACCGCTCGGCAGCACTTCTGCGTCCCTCGGTTAAGTGCTGACAAGGATACCACATCAGCCTGTCCTCGGGGAGCTCGGAGACCACGCTTCACCGGCACCAGCCCTTCAGCGCACAGCTCTCCTGCCCGGGGCTTCAGTCCCCTCCTCCCCCTAGTCCCCGCGAGGGACCTAAAGCGTGTCGGGTCTGGGGGACGGGAACTGCCTAGAGCCCGCGACGCCGGAAAAGCCAGGGACGCGGCCTCGGCCCGAGGTCTGCAGCCCGCCGCCCGCCCCCGGCCCGAGCGCC